AAAAAAAAAAAAAAAAAAAAAAAAAATTCAGAGTACTGGAGTCTGTGCTTTAAAACTGGTTAAACAAAATCGTCCAATTACACAAGGAATATTTATTCCAGTAACCATTTCCTTCAGACTGCCATTTGAATAATATTCTGAGACTTAATTATCGGGATGAATAGCAGCATTAGCAATTCAAAGCTGGATTCTGCTATTACTCTGAGGGTTGTTTCAGAGGGACCACTCTGCACTTAGGTACACATCTAAATAAAACAGGATAGCTAAACCTCAGATGAATAAATCACTCAGATGCCGAGACAGCTATGCCAATAATSTTACTTTTCTGTTTATTTAATTAATTTTGGCTATTTGATTGCTGATTTAAGCTCTTCCAGGAATAGACTATGTTCTTTTCTTGTCTGAGTTAGAGTTAGTGAGAACTGCTCTTGCAAAAAGACCTAATTTTACTTGTCAATACTGCGTTTCTTAATCCTAGACAGAAATTAAAGATGAGTGTTAAAAATAGATATGAAAATGCAGTTATGAACTTGTTCGCAACTCAYAAAAACTTTTTAGAAAAAAGTTAAATGAACTTAATCTCTTGCTTTTTGTGACAAGYTATTTTTACCTCCCTTCAGATTAATAAACCCTGCTTAAAAAAACAAAAAACCCAGCCTTCAGTCAKATGTTGGTACTCAAAGAAGATATCTACTTTTGCTTTATCATACCAGCTCGAATGCAATATCAGCACTCTGCTTTCCACTTCTTAGGGAAATGCACTAAATTACCACACCAAAAATTTCACACACGACACCTCCTTTTCCTTATTTTTTCCCATCAGCAGTGATTTAAAACATTTAGTTATTTAAAAAAAAACTATTTATATAGTGACTCATCCCCATGGTGATTAACTGTAATTTATACTCTTTACTCATTTCAGAGGAGTGGAGAGGGAGTACGATGGAGCTGCCTTGCTCAACTGGTGACTCAACGGGGTGGGTTTGGGATCCCCATCAGCCTGGCRTCCTCCTGATTTCTGAAATGTGAAATTCCCACAGAGGAGCCAAAAAAAAAACCCAAAAAGGTCACAGGCATCCCCATGTCATGGACTGATGACAACATTGCATGGATTTATTCTGGAAATCACAGCATTAAAGCGTTTTCAGCCACATATTTCTTTACCTTTTAGTGCATCGTTGACAAAATGTAAAAATAAATATGGCAGCAGGAATGTCGGATTTTATCTTCTTTGGGATAACCTGATTTTCACTTGGGGAAAATTTAATCTTCTTTTTTAGAGGTGAATAATACTTTAGTGGGAGAGTAAAAAAAAAACAAAAAACCAAGAAGACACGGGTGGGGTTGGAAAGTCTGTACCAGGATATGTGTCATCCAACATTAGCTTAAGGGAGATAATTCAGAAAGTCAGGGCTTGGATAGAATCTGAATATCTGTGCCAGACTCCTGATTATTTCTGTTACAATGGTAGAAATCTTGACAGGTCTGGGGGAAAAAAAGATTCTGAAATTTGAAGCATAAATATCTCAGTTTA